AAAGTTTAATCAACTATACAATAAATTTAAAATATAAAAAGTAAATATGCATATTGTAAATCTTATTTTATCAAAAATTAATTTTTTTTTATATTACATTATATATGTAAGTATTAATATATATATATGTAATAATAATAATAATAATAATAATTAAACTTTTTAAAAAAAATTAATTCGTTATTAATGAACATTTTTTATCATATAAGAGAATTAATCTCTTTCATAAATTTAACAAATATCAAATAAATGAACATTTTCTCCGAATCTATATTTTTTATATATAATAATTTAAACATTTATATTTATTTTATTAGAATTTAATTTTTATTTTTTTAAATATATTATTTTTGGATAAAAAATATGTATGTGTCAAATAATAGTACCCACTAACAATATAGATCCGTTCCTGCATAGGAGTCTCGAAAGTTGTGATGATTACAAATCTAACACACATTGCCACCTTTCACTAATCTCATTTTTATCATTGAGTTTTGTTGAAAAAGCACATATTTTAAAACACCAAATCGAAAAGTAATTATTTCAATTTTTTCGTTGGATGTGATCCTGTAGATTTTTAACGAAAAATGAAACAATTATTTTTTCGGAAAAATCTTTACTGTTGTTTGCTACTACATACATTTTCGATTTACTTTTTTGGCAGGGCCAGGGAAAACTTAATTTGCTACTTTTCAACTTAATTTTCTCTTTCCTCCTATTCCTTACAAGTCTTTAAAGGCCTTTCTTGTTCCATTCAACAACTTTATTCTATTGTTTGTTTATTCTTTGGTGTTGTTAGCAAACTTGGTTGAAATTTAAATATTTTGGATATTCAACTATGTTTGATTGGAGCTTCTAGTTGTGGTTTTGACTTGTTTTGCTTGCTAAGAAAATTCTATCGACCTGATAGTTTTCAGCTTAGCTTGATAGTCATTTAAGTTATTTGGTGTAATTCTTAATTACCAGGTTATCAAGCATCCTTGAGTTGATTCTCAAAGCTTAATTTTTATGTTTTCTATTTATTTACGAAGAAATGAATTATTTCCTTGTAACAAGCTAAAATAGCTTTGACGTAGTGATGGAAATATGAGAAATGTATGATAACATTTCTTTAAAATGATTTTAGGTTTTTAAAAATCAACATGTTTTGATTTTGGTTTATGTAAAAGCATTTATTGTTTTATCCTTCTACAGTTTGAAATTATTATTCTTGGTTCCTACTATGACATAATATTTATTAACTACTTTTGCATTAATTATATGATTAAATGACTATCCTTGGTGACACAAGCACATGTTTGCAAATATTATGTTAGCATGAGACACTTTAAAATTTTTATAGATCTTAACATTTCCATACTTTCATGCTATATCTATAATCTCCATAACACTCACCTCATCACACAATAATTTAAGTTCATTTTCAAAGTCATTACAACCAACAAAATATCATATCAACTCTACTATATTAGATATCTCAATTCCTTTAATATATTCAAAATTTGAAAGTAACTCAATCTATTTGAGTCACATATCCATGTGGAATCATAACCCAAATAGTATAACTTGTCTTTATTCACAAAATGCTCTCCATGATGCATACCAATCTCCTAGTAATCATCTATGTCAAACAAGTCTTATACAAATCCAAATACAGAAATATTTTTAAATATCCTATAGTTATGTATATTTAAATTAAAGGATGTACAATAACATACTATTTTAGGTTAAACACATAAAAAGAATAAGAAAAAAGAATATAAGTATTGCATCAATGGACCAACATAAGAAAAAAAAATATAAACAAATGTAAATACATGGTTGTCTAACAAAAATTGAACCACAAATGTACAAACCAAATAAGACAAAAATTGAACCACAAGTGTACAAACCAAATAAGACCACAAAATAAAAATACACACACAATGGACCACATTATAAACCCCATACTATGACCTTTTACGAACAAAATTTACCTATAAAATAAATTGAAGTAAAAAGGACAAACAAATAAACTATATTACACATAGAGAAGATAGAACAAACAACTCGTTAACAAATCCTAACCTTTCTAGGACACAACAAACCCATCAAACAAATGAAAAATGAAAGGACAACAAGGATAATAGATGCAATTATCACACACACACAATCAAATCTCAAATAAAAATGTAACAAAAAAACCTTAACACTTACCAAATGTGACAATGCAACCTTTCAAGATAATGCTTGAACAAACGCAAACAAATGTGATCCTCTTGTCACATCCACCAAACATGAACAAATGCGATCCCTTTCTCCAATTGATCGAATGAATTGCCAGCCTCCCATGTTTGCTAACAATTTTTGCACCTAGGAAATTTGTCCAATTATAGGAATGAAGAACATGTTGACCTCCGATAGAAGAAGCAAACGTTTTCACCTAATTTGAAAATGTCAAAATTTAGAATTAAGCTTTGAAACTAAAAGTCATATAAAAGAAATAAAATAAATCCATGTCATATCCTCATAGGCATCTATCATTAATTATTTAAATGATATTAACAAAAATCAAACAATGAAACTAATTAAATAGAACTGAGACTAAATTGAACCTAAATAAATAAAGGGACCAAACAAATAATTTAGCCTTATAAAAATAGTTTACTCTATTATTATTAAAATTTAAAGTAACTTAAGATGGATAACTCATGCACACTCATGTACATTAACATATCCTCACACACAGACTCTAATGAAAGAAGATAGTTTTATCAACAAAAAAAAAATCTAAATATTTCCTATGTCCATTGAAGTATTCTAAATAACCAACAACAAAGATGAAGGAAAGAAATAAGCAAAGATGTAGCTGCTATAGTTTCTATTTTTGATTTTGTATAAACAAGGAATGTAAAATGTTTAAATATAGTAGAAATGTCAAAAATATTGATAATTTGATTTATTATATTACAATTTTATTTATTTAATTATATTGTTAATAATGTAAAATGTATATTATTTTTATTATATCATATAGATAAATATGCTAGTCTATTAGGTTTGACAAACAATTTTTTTTTTAATTCTAAACTTAATCTTTTTAAACAAATAGGTTTTTTTTTATAAAAAAAAAATCTAAATCTAACCTTTTTATTACATAGGTTAGATCGAACTTTAAATAGATCAAACTAAAAGTCGTTATTTAAGATTTATCTATTTCTATTCCTAATAACTATTATTGTGGAAGAACATATGCATAAAGTTTTGATGATGCCAAAGCGTTGAAAAAAATAAAAGGTCAAGTTAAAGCAAGTTGATCAAGAAGCAAAATCTCAAGAAATAACTAGATAAGTCTTGACTACTTTTAGCTTGATATGTAAAATGAACTTTTAGAAATTGCAAATTTCACTTGGCCATTAAGATAAGGATTTCAAAAAAATCTAAATTTAGTCTCTTTGATATAAGAATAAGTTTTTGAAAAAGAAGGTAAAAACAAAAATTAGAAGTTTCCTATAATCAAAAGTTTGTGTAACAAATATAAGAATATTTGTCTGATAATCGATTACCAGCTTATGTAATTGGTTACCAGAGCAAGGAAACTTCAAATTCAATTTTTGAATACAAAATGTGTTCTGGTAATCGATTATCAGACCTTGTAATCGATTACCAGAAGAGAGAAATTCAAAAATTTGAATTTAAAAGATACAACGTTTCAAATTTTTTGAACTTAAAATCGTTGTAATCAGTTACAAAGTCTTGTAATCGATTACTAGAGTATCTTTTTTGAAAAATTATAAAGAGTTACAACTCTTCATGAAAAGACACAACCTAAGAAATACTTGTCTATAAATACCTATAATTTTTCAGAAGAAAGTTACGAACTCTATTATGAAAATCAATTTACAAAAACTACTTGGCCAAAGTCATTTGCAAAAATCTCTAAAGAGTTCATTAAGATCTTCAAGGTGTAATATTTACTCTTAAAAAGAGAGTTATTCTGTAATTCCAAAGTGATCATTGGATCTGTGAAAGAGAAAGGGTTTTTCTCCTTGTTAGTTTTTGAATCTCAACACAAGGAAAGGGTGTTTCGAGGTGTTTCAAGGATTTAAGTCTTGTAAAGAGTTACAAGAATAGTGGAAATCTCAAGTTGGAGACTTGAGGATTGGACATAGGTAGGATTGGTCGAACTAGTATAAAATTGAGTTTGCAATTCTTCTTTCCCTATACTTTTTAATTTAATTACTTGTTATTAGTTGTGATTGGGTAGTGTGCATCAACATTCATTCTTTACATATAAATTTATCTAAGGAATTGAATTTGTAAAAAAGTAATTCGAAAAAATTTTATAAGAGGAAAATTTGGAAAACTTAATTCACCCCCCTCTTAAGTTATACGAGACAACTTGACTAACAATTATGAAAAATATCTAATTGACTAATAACTATTATAAAGGAAGTATCTAATTGACTAATAACTATTATAAAGGAAATATATTTCTTTAGTTTTCATTTTATTAGTCACAATTATACTTTGAAAACACTTATAAAAAATAACTTTAACTACCTTAAGGATATGTTTGAGAAAAGAAAATAGAGGGAAAAAGGAGAAAAGAAAAGAGAAGTCTGTAAAAGTTAAAAAATGAGTATTACTTAATAAAAGAAAATTGAAGGAAAATGTGAGAAAATTATTACGAGACCCATACAAATAAACTTCTAAAAAAATGAGGAGAAGCCTTGTGGAAGTTGGTAAGATATAATAATAATAATAATAATAATAATAATAATAATAATAATAATAATAATAATAATAATAAATTATTTATATTTTAAAATAAATTTATTTATAAATATTATATTTATTTTTAAAAGATAATATAACTATAATAAATAAATTTAATAAAAATATTTATTATAATTAATTAAAATTATTTATAAGAAGTATACTGTTTATTTATTTAAATAATCATATTTAATTTAAATAATAATAATAATATACTTGTTTTTTTTCTTATTTTATTTTATTTTTAAGCATTGTCTCTTATTTTTAAGTCGTTTATGTTCTGTCGTTGGCCTGGTATGTAGCAATTGGCTGCGAATCTTTTTCGCCTATATTCTCTCGCATCCTCATTTCTTTTCTTTTCAACGTTTTCATACTTCGCACTTTGCACCAACCTCGCTCTCTCATTCTCTTCATCGGTACTTTTTCTTTCTATCTTGCATTTCTCCTCTACTTTTTTTTTTTTTTTTTTTTTTTTTTTTTTTTTTTTTTTTTTCCAATTCGCTAATTGTATTTCATTTTCCCCATATCGATTTCTAGGGTTTTCCGTTGCCTCCGAGCTCATTTCGTTCTCGAAGAATCGATCTACGATAATGACTCATATCCTTTATTCGTTAAAATTTCACTGCCAATTTTTCACGAATTCTCGTCAATTTAGGGATAGGGTTGACTTTTCGTTAGAAATTAGAAAATCTGAGGAAAAGGAGAAAATAAATCATTTTTCCCTTCTCCACCCCTTTTGTTGTCGATCTTATGAGTTTTGTGGAATTAATAGTTTCATTCAGTTTGGATCCACGGAAAGGAACACATGAGTAACGTAATTTTCATGATTTTACTTTCTTTTTTAAGAGAAAATTTGTTTCCTTTGCCACAACCCAATCGGTTTATCCGTGGTTTGGTTTGTGAAACCGTTTTTCTGTTGTTGGTAATTAACTTTAAAGCGAACGCGGTAACCAGAGGGATCGCGACCGTGAAAGGGCTCAGGCTAGAACCGGCGGTGGTAAAGGCAAGCAGGGAAAGGCTGATGGGTTGACCCCTGAACAGCGCAGGGAAAGGTTGGATTGATGTGATTTATTGCACATATTTTGCAATCACTTTTGTTACCCATTTTTGTTTTAAAAATTATTCTTGCCTAAATTTGATTTCTTTGTGAAAATGTTGTATTTCTTCATGAGCAGAGATGCAAAGGCATTGCAGGAGAAGGCAGCAAAGAAAGCGGCACAGGATGCAGCAGGGAATAATGCAGGTGGAAGCAAAAAATAGGCAATGATTCAATGAGTGGTTTGAGTTTGAGGTGTTGGTTAGACACATGAAATTTGTGGAAATCCTTGTAGTGCATTATTCGTTGAGTTTGATGTGTTTGTTAATGTCGTTTGAGACAGATGAACAAATAATTGGTGCTTCTTTGGAAGGTGTTGATGCTAGGTGGTGAATTAATAACTTGTATCCTTGTTTCGAATAGTAGTATTTGGCAATGCTATTGTATTCTTTCCCTTCCTATTGTCTGAATTGCTAGCTATAGCTACTTTTGTGATTACTCAATTGTGTGCCAAACACAGTTCTTCAGCAATGTTTAATTTGTAAATGTGAAGCTGTTCACATGAAAATTGTTGCGGTTGGTAGTGAAGATGGAATTATTTGTGTTGCATATTCTGATACGGGTTTCTGGTTTAGTGTCACGTATATGTGTATCATAGTTCTTGATAGCAATGCCGTATCAGTGTAGTGGCCACTAGAGGTTTTGTATTGCAGAATGTTTTTAAATAGCTTCGGTTTTGGGAGAAAACTTTAAAAGCATGAGTAAAATTCAGAATTGAGGTTTAGGGAGAATGGTATTTTTGGCAGCAGGGAATAATGCAGGTGGAATAATTCAGATTTGAGGTGTAGAAATGGCGCTATAGCAAGACCTAAGTTTGACAGGAATGGAAACCCATGAGTGGTATTTTGCATGGTGGGCTTTGAAAAATGAATCTATTACCAGGGTCTATCGGACCTTTAAGCATGAAATGACGTGACAACTTTGGAGTAAGGCAGAGATGTGAAGATGTGTCAAACCCCAAAGAAACACCAGGATGTTTGTCAAACCCATCCTTATGTTACCAAGCCAAGGATTTGACTCATCATTCTTCACTCCTTCATTGTGCACACATGATAATTTTACAATCCTTGAATATCACTATTGCTGGGATTATTGTTTAAAGAAATCATACTGGAACAATTAGTGACTTCATTGGAGAGGTGTGTGAGCGATGGAGAAAGCTGAAGGGTTGAAGAGAACTGGAGAGCTTTGTATTATCTGCTGATGGCTTTTGCTTAGAAAGCTTGGTCTTGCGAAACAAGTTGAGAGGAAAAGTTATGGAAACAAAAGCAAGAACACTAGATAAGATTTCTCTTTCATTCAACAATGGTATGAAATAGTCTTGTTGAGCGAACTTTGGGAAAAATGGTTTTCAATTTATGATACAGTAATTCTGAAAGCTTTGGTTTCGTGCCTTTGATGTGTTTGTGGATTTGCCTCTTGAAAGAAAATATCATTAACCTCCTTAGGTGGAATAATATCATAATGTGCCGAGAGATTCATTTATATGTGGAGATGGCTTTTATGAATGAGCAAGCTCTTGCTATTTCTTAGAATCTGAATACTTGATAGTTTGTCTGCAATTTTTGTAAAGCATGCGATGCTAAGAAGTGTACATTGTGGCAGTTAAATTTGTGTTCTGCTTGACTATGGCAGTGGCAGTTTGTTCTGTTATATGTCAAAAGCATATAAGTGCAACATAAAATTATTCTCATAAAGGGCTGGTCGGTTCAAAGTTAAGGAAGGAAGGAAGGGATTGGGATGGAGGGAGTTAGAAATTTTGTTTAGTTGAAGAGAGGGAAGAAGTGTGATGACAATTTTCTTATTTGGTTCAAAGGGAGATGAAAGATTTTAAATCAAATTACCTTCATATTTTTATAATTTTAAATTTAATAACATAAACAAGGATATTTTTTGACTTTATATTACAAATGTTTTAAAATTTCTCTTCTCTAATCCATTTTTTTTCGAATTAATCATCTATACACTGTCCGTGTAAAGTTTTTTTACATTAGCAATCAATTATATCTTTTAATTGTGTCATGTCATTATAAACACATTTACTTTTAACAGTGATATGACACAATTAAAAGATATAATTGGTTGCTAATGTAAAAAAACTTTACTCTGACAGTGTATAGGTAATTAACTCTTTTTTTTCAATATTGAAAGGGAGTTAAAATTGAGTTAGGAGAGATTTTGTTTAACTACTTTCTAAAAAAATTTGAACCAAACAAGGCAAGTTTAAAAATTCCTTCTCTTCTCTTTCATTTTTCTCTCACCAAACACTATGAAAATGTAAACAAAGATAGGAACTTTGCCTTTTGATTTGGATGGAAAATCATGCATGAATTACTTCTAGATTTCTTTTATTATATTGAGTTATAAATTATGTTTACAATGAATAGTGATGATCCATAGTGTATACAACAGAAAAGTTGATCGAAAGTGAAGTCAAGCTCAACTTATGTGTATACAACAGAAAAGTATTGATTGAAAATCAAGTCATGCTCAACTAGTTTAAATCAAATAAGTTCCAAATTATAAATAGCTCGTGACTTTTAGAGTAAACGAAAGTTGTCTTATCTGTCATGAATGATAGATATCGGGAGTTATTGCAAATAACATACATAGAAATTAAATTGATTATGGTTACTTAGCAATTTAAGTTTATCATTTGAAGTCCTAAAGCCATGGACATTCATTATGTGTGTTTGCGCCATTGCTCTTGTACTACAAATCTTCAATGACATGCTTTTAATTGATCTGAACTATCTCAGGTTTCACTGGGTGTGCCAAATTGTTATCGGTGGGTAACATGATAAAAAAAATACCGTTAATGCTAAATAATTGTTTGGAATCATGTAAATAACATTCTTCTGAAATAGATTTATAATGTACAAAGCTAAAATTAAGAATTAATTATTTGCCCAAAAAAATAATAATTTCATTTTTAGTTTTCAAATATTAAAATTGTGACATTTTGGTGTTTAAATTTTAATTACATTAATTGGGTTATTCAAGCTTTCTCTATTTTATAATTGGGTCTTCCATAAGCTCTGTGTGTGTAGAACTTTAAAAAAAGATTAATATATAATAATTAAAAAAATTATTGATATTTTTAATGTCAACATTAAAAAAACAAAAAGGAGAAGGATTTAAGAGAAATAAGAAAAAAAAGAAAGAGGAGAGAAGATGGTGAAGGATGAAAGCTTGTGAGAGAGAAAGAGAGGAGAGAGAGAGAGAAGAGAGAGAGTGAGGGGAGAGAAAGAAATGGAAAGAAGAAAAGAGAGAAGGGAGAAGGGGGGTGGGTGGGGGGGCAGGACAGAAAGGTAAGGGAAAAATTAAGAGAGAAAGAAAATAGAAAAGACATAAGTGAATCAAGTTGCATGTTTGAATTCAAATATTGTTGCATGGCAACACCGCTAGAGAAGTCTTACCTATCAATCTATTGCTTATTTAGTTACAATGACAATTGGCAAGTCTCATGATTTTTTCTTAAGCTTCAAGGATACTTTATTTTTTATTAATATTTTATTTGTTTACTTTACCTATTAAAGACATACAATGTATCACATAATTAATTCAATTCAAGCGAGTGAAAAGGAAATAGATAAGATAGTTATACTCTTCCTCTCTCTCATTAATCTCATTAAGTCTTTTGTTGTGTCTGTGTTGGTTTTGTTAATTGTTATCCCAGTTAAAATAAATGACATGAGCTTGACAACCTAGTGGTAGTGAGTTAAAAAAATTGTTTTGTGTGTGAAAAACAAAAAAGGTTCTCATTTTATCACACATATATATATATATATAT